GGAAGATCGATGAGATCAATGGCGGCGGAAGGAGACGACTGTCGGTGGTTGATATTGACGATGGCAGATGCCTGCCGGAGGTTGATATTGAAGACTGCGGCGGCTAGGGTTTTTCAGATTCTGGCGGCTAGGGTTTATTTCCTAGAGCTCTGATACCATGTTGTTTTGTGAGAAAGGTAATTTTTCTTATTTCCCAAAACAACCCATTTAGGGTAAATGGACAAGAAGACCTTTAAACAAATAAGGAATTAATCTAAGCCTATAAGGAAAAAATAAAATTACAGAATATATAGAGATATAATAGCAATGCAAATTCTAATAAGGAAAAACTTAATTTACGGCTTGATTTTCTACACGTTCTCTTTTTCTCTGACCTCTTTGGGGGTTTGTATCCCTATCCATGTACTTTTTTCTCTTTTTCGTATATCAATGAAGAGTTGATTCTGGTTAAAAGAAAACTATGGAAATAAGTAGATWATTTACACCAAACAAAGCCAAAAAAGATTTGTTTGAATTGGGAATTCTTCATTTCTCCCATTCCTTGTTAGCTTTATCTCTTTCTGATGTATTTTTCTAGTTGCTCTGTTCCTTTTTGAGGTCCGATTCTTATGTTCTCTTGTTATTTTTTCTTCCCGTTTCATTAATCAATTCATTTCTTGTATTTTTTTTTTTGAATGTGAGCTTACAGAATTGGTAGTATCGAACTGGCTAACCAACCAGTAAGTAACTCATAGCTAACCGGCAGTGTATTTGTAACAGTAATATTTTTCTTTGCTATATCATTGGAGGATATTCTCTTTTCAATTGGACAGTAAATTGAGAACAAGAAGTTCTGTATTTGCTAACTCAATCCAAATAATTATGCTTGGAGAGGGTCATGGGCATTTATTTTGTATTTGATAATTGAGGTAAGCTGACTGCACAATGTCCTAACGATTCCCCCTTTCCTTTTTTTCCCCTCTTCTTCTAAACAGTACCATCCAGATGTGAACAAGAACCCTGGATCAGAAGAGAGGTTCAAAGAGATAAGTGCTGCATATGAGGTGAGAATCAAGGCTCCCACATTAGAGTGTTAGTTTCTTGTGTTATTGTGTACATCTCATCTTTTTAGACCATTTTATTTAAGTCTTATTCTTTTGGATTGGAGCCACTTCTTATTTTGGTATTCTCCAGTATCTAATAATAATCCACTACTATGCATTTCTTTGAGTTCATGTGATAATGGAGTAGCTGTGTAGGTCCTATCAGATGATGAAAAAAGATCTTTATATGACCAATTTGGCGAGGCAGGTTTGTGGGGAGAATATGGCGTAATGAATAGTGGTTCACCGAGGGTAAGATTGCTGCTACCACTTTGCTTACAGGCTTATGCATTGTTATTATTTTCGAACATCTCATTGATTTAATGAACATTGCATATGCATTTTTATTGAAATTAGAGTAATTTATTTTTTCCTGGGGTGATTTGAAATATATTTGAAACTTCTCTTGTTAATTTGCTTTAATGATTCTATGGAATTCTTTTAGGTTGATCCCTTTGAAAATTTTGATGCATTCTTTGGCGGATCAGATGGACTTTTTGGAGAAAGAGATGGAATTGGAGGCATCAATTTAATAAATAAGAGGAGCGGAAGAAACCAGAATCTTGATATACAGTATGGTGATCGTTCTCTCATTGTTAGTTACTATGAGACTACTAACTATCATCCATGATGCAGAATATACAAAGAAAAAGGATTATGGACAATTGACCATTGGTCTCTAAGCTTGCTCTTATCATGGTTTTGTTTTGAACTGATTTTGTGTATTCTCTCACATATGTATTTGTAAATCAGATGGACTCTCACATATGCTTATAAGTAATCTGAGTCATACTTCTTTTCATTATTTCAATGATATGGTTGGTATCTTGTTAAAAAAAAAGGTAATCTTAGTCATACATTCTTTTCCCTCCTTTTAACCTTACAGTTATGACCTGCACTTAAGCCTTGAAGAATCAGTGTTTGGAGCAGAACAGGAAATTCAATTCTCTAATTTTGAGACATGCGAAAATTGTGATGGAACCGGTGCAAAATCTAGTAATTGCATAGGAACTTGTGCCAACTGTCATGGAAGAGGAGGAGTGGTCAAAACTCAGAGAACACCATTTGGAATGATGTCTCAGGTAGTTAAATATCTATATAGTAAAAATTGATGTTTTGCATTGAAAAAGAAAGTGCGACTTAATATCTTTCCTCTAAGACCTAAGTTAATGTACTTGTGACTGAAGCTCATTACTTTTAAGTTTANCGATATTAAATGGGGAGGAAATGACAATTTAGAAGTTCGAACACAGGACCTCCTGCTCCATACTTTTTTTTTTTAATATGAAACAATATTTCATTGATGGTATGAAATATACAAAAGGCCCTGAAAAAGGAAATTACAAGAAAGCTCTCCAACTTGTAATAAAATCATTAAGAGAGTAATTGTTGAAGAGGGGTAGAAACATTTACACCAATCCAAAGCTAAAACAAGAACTCTATCAAAAAAAATTTCAAAGGAGAGGGTTTTGTCCTTGAACACCATTCGATTCCTTTCTAACAAAATAGACCAAAGGAAGGCGCGAAGATTTGAACCCATAGGGGCTATCCTAAAAGGGTGGCCCACCAGAATGCTGTCCAGAAGACTATGTGGTTGATCATGCAGGGCTATAGTCCATCCAAAGGCCGAAAGGATATAGTTCCAAAAGTGAGTGGCAAAGGGCACAACAAAAATAAGTGGCCTTGTGTCTCCGATGCTCCAAACCCGAAGAGACAGCAATGTGGGGAAAGATGAATGTATGAGTGTTTCCTCTGGATTCTGTCATGAGTGTTGAGAGTTCCATGGCTAAGTTCCCAGCAGAAAAAATTGACTTTCTTTGGGCATTTACCTTGTCATAGACAGGGGTAGAGTGTAGGGGCCGGTTGTGTAGTGTGAGTGTTGAGGAGGTTATAAATTGATTAGGTGGAGAACACTCCTGATGGCTCTAAGGGCCAAATCCATTGATCCCCCGGGGGGGCGGAGGGGCACAATTGGGTTAAGCAGTAGGGATAATTGTAGCCAATCCTTAATCTTCTCCTCCTTAAGTGGTCTTCGAAAATTATAGTTCCATGATGAGGTAGTGCTTGACCAACAGTCTTCAATAGTAGCTCCCCTGTTTGTAGCAAGAATGTGAGGTCTTGGAAAAAGAGAGGCAATAGTGCCCAGTTCAATCCATCTATCCATCCAGAAATTGGCTTGACTCTTCTCTCCCACCCGGCAAATGACAGTCTCCTTTATAAGGTTGCATTGTGGCAAAATCGCAGACCATGGTCCTTTGAGATTTGGATGGCATCTCGTGGGCCAGGGTGAGGTGTGAGTTCCATAGTATTTTGCTGTGATGAATCTCCTCCAAAGCTGGTTTGGTTCTGTTACGTAGCGCCAAACCCATTTAGAAAGGAGTGCATAATTCCTCTGTTTTATATTCCCAATGCCGAGACCTCCTTCAAAGTTAGGTAGCTATGTACGCTACCAATTGATAAGGTGTGAATCAACGTTGTTGTTTGGCCCTTCCCATAAAAAGTTCCTAAAGATCTTGTCCAGTTTCTCCACTGCTTTACCCGAAATCTTGAAGAGAGATAGATAGTAGGTGGGAAGGTTTGTGAGGATGGATTGAAGAATAATGAGCCTTCCGCCTTTATAGATAAAATAGCCACATTCTTTGTTGAACACAATCTAATTCTAGGTTGTAATAAGTTGCTTCTATTATTATGTTTTAAACCATGGTGGCCACATACTTAGTATTTAAATTTATGTGAGTATGAATGTGTCCTTTTTGGAAAATCAACCCTTTTTTACCAAAAATTATCTTTAGGGAAAGAGACTAAATTTAGAGGATAAGGATGATAATTTTTGGGATATACCTGTGGATATACCTGTCCCCCTTCCTAACGTTATAAGTCCCAACTTTACTAGTCCTTCAATGCCAAGTGTAGAAGATTCTCACTCAGGGGGAGAATTACTACAAAATGATAAAACTGATCCAAATCCTGAGTTTAAGTTTTATACTAGAAGAAGACTCAATCAAACGAATGAGGACCGGATATCTGACTCATCACAAATCCAATCTGAAGCTCTGAGGGATGATTTTGAAACTCCAGGTAATCCATCTTCCATCCTTGTAACTTCGAATATTGAAAATGTATCATCTGTTGTTTCTGATCTCGATGTCCCTATAGCTTTAAGGAAAGGAACTCGAACTTGACCAAATATCCTCTTGCAAACTATATCTCTTGTAAAAAACTGTCAAGTAGTCATAAAGCTTTTACGTCTAGGATAACGAACTTGTTTATTCCAAGGAACATACAAGAAGCCCTAAATGATCCAAATTGGAAACAAGCTGTTATGGAGGAGATGAATGCTCTAAGACAGAATTGTACATGGGAGATAGTAGATTTGCTTAGAGATAAGAAAACTGTGGGCTGCAAGTGGGTCTTTACAATCAAGTGTAATGTTGATGGTAGTATTGAAAGGTATACTAGTTGCAAAGGGATTTACTTAAACCTATGAGATTGATTACTAGGAAACTTTTGCTCCTGTTGCTAAAATCAACAAAATTAGAATACTTTTATCTCTAGCTGCAAATTTAGATTGGCCCTTTATCAACTCGATGTAAAAAATGCTTTTCTGAATGGAGATCGTGAAGAAGAAGTATTTATGAGTTTACCACCAGATTTTGAAGCTAACCTTGGGAAGGGCAAAGTATGCAGGTTAAAGAAATCTCTATATGGGCTCAAGCAGTCTCTGAGAGCATGGTTTGAACGATTTGGTAAAGTAGTCATGAGCTATGGATTTCTTCAGAGTCAAGCTGATCATACCATTTTTTATAAACGTTCTGGAAATAATAAAATTGCAATTTTGATTGTCTATGTAGATGATATTATGCTTACAGGTGATGATGAAGTAGAATTGGCCACTTTAAAGAAAATAATTGCATGCGAATTTCAAATTAAGGACCTAAAAACGTTAAAATACTTCCTAGGGATGGAGTTTGCGAGATCTAAGAAAGATATCTTTGTTAATCAAAGAAAATATATTCTTGATTTACTTGAAGAAACAGGTTTGCTTGGATGCAAGATAGCTGAGACTCCTATTGAACCTAATTTGAAATTGGAAGCTGCAAAAGAAGAAGAAGTAAAGGACAAGGAATGATATCAAAACCTTGTGGGAAGACTCATTTACTCATCTCACACACGTCCAGATATTACTTTTGCAGTGAGTATGGTAAGCCAATTTATGCCTGAAGCTGCCTATAGAATTTTAAGATATCTGAAAGGAACTCCGGAAAATGTATATTGTTCAAAAAACACAACCATTTACAGGTTGAAATTTATATCGATGCTGATTGGGTAAGTACAATAGATAGAAGATCTACTTCAGGTTACTGTTCGTTTGTTGGAGGTAACTTAGTCACTTGGTGAAGTAAAGAAACAAAATTTAGTAGCTAGAAGCAGCGCTGAAGCTAAATTTAGGGCCTTAGTCCATGGTATTTGTGAAGGGATATGGATAAAAAGATTGCTTGAAGAATTGAAAGTCTTTCAGAAGGCACCCGTACGAGTTTATTGCGACAACAAGGCTGCCATCTCCATAGCCCACAATCCAGTCCAACATGATAGGACTAATCATATTGAAATTGACAAACATTTCATAAAGGAAAAGGTGGACACCAGTGTGATATGTATCCCTTATCTCCCGACAATAGAACAGATTGCTGATGTGTTGACAAAAGGACTACCTAAAGTACAATTTGACAGGATGATTGACAAGCTGGCAATGAAAGATATCTTTAAACCAGCTTGAGGGGGAGTGTTGGTTTATTTGTGAATATTAATTGTAAGTAGTTGTAAATATTAATGATTATTCTAGTCTTATTTACATTCCTTTTATGTATTGAGCCTTTCTCCTATATAAGAAGGCTATGCATTTCTTACTTTTGATATTGGAATACAAATAATTTTATTTCATCAAAACTAAGTTGACCTTTATATGATCAACAGTCAACACTAATATAAGTTAGATATTATTTTAAATGGTTCCTGTTAAATCATCACTTAATGCAGAAGCTTAAGTTGATAGATTAGAGTATAATTAACCTTTTATACCTACTTTTAATACTTTTCCTCATTTGTGGGCTTTAAAATGATGACAAGGCCCAATATCTGACTATACATATTAATCGGAGGGGAAAAGACATTATAAGAATTGAACACAAACCTCCCACTCTAATACCATGCTAGGTATATTTTATTTATTTTTATACTTATTCTAATTGTTACAATAGACGTCAGTGGGAAGATGACCAAAAACTTATTCTTGATTATAAATCGTGAACTCTATAATCTTGTGAAGTTTCCCATATGATATTTTAAAAGTTCCATGTGTTATTATGAATTCTAGTTTTTGGAGAAGGATTATGTGAAAATCCAAATATTTGAAAAGTTCCACGTGTTATTATGAATTCTAGTTTTTGGAGAAGGATCATGTGAAAATCCAACTCTTTCACCTACTAGATTTACCTTAATGTATTGCATTGTTCTGTTATATCTTAGGTGTCCACATGTTCAAAGTGTGGTGGTGATGGTAAGATAATAACAGAGTTATGCCGAAGCTGTGGTGGCAGTGGTCAATTGCAATCAATTAGAAAAATGAAAATAGTAATCCCACCGGGCGTCACTGATGGAGCCACCATGCAAATTCAAAGAGAAGGCAGTTTTGATAAGAAAAGGTAAGTAGCCATCATTTTTTTCTTTCCATCTTTGCGGATTTCAAAATTCAAGCTGCTATTTGGCGTGGACAAGTAGCGGTATTTTCCTCCGTTTAGAGATTAGGGTCGTTTTGGTGGCAAGGGGTTGTATTTGTCGCTCTTTGGCGTTTGTGGCTTGAAAGGAACAAAAGGATTTTTAGAGGGGTAGAGATATCGAGGGAGGAGGTGTGGAACCTTGTTCGGTTCCATGTTTCCCTTTGGGCCTTGGTGTCCAAAGTGTTTGGTAATACTCCTTAGGTTTGATCTTGCTTGATTGGAGTTGTTCTTTTAGTTTGAATCATTTTGGTGGGCTTGTTTTTGTACGTCCCTTTGTATTCTTTCATTTTTCTCAATGAAAGCTCGACTTTTCATTGAAAAAAAAAGGAATGTTTTTTAATTTGACTAAAACAATGGAGTTATTTGAATGGTTTTCGGGACTTAAAATTAGTTGGATGAAATCATCAATTTGTGGGTTGAATATTGAAGAATCGAAGTAGCTACAAGTGGCATCAAAACTTCGATGCGAGATTGAAACCTTACCGTTTATGTACCTTGGTTTACCACTTGGAAGAAAACCTAAGGTTGAATCTTTTTGGCAGCCTGTTATGGAAAAGATCATGAAAAAATTGGATATATGGAGGAGATTTCATTTGTCCAAGGGAGGACCATTGCCACTTCGTAATTCAGTACTTTCGTATCTTCCTTATTATATGTCAACTCTTATTAAGCCTTCCAAAGTTAGATTCAAGATTGAGAAGAAAATACATAATTTCCTATGGGAAGGTTGTGAAGGTGGTAAGATAATCATCTTGTTCGGTGGAACCTAAATCATCTTGTTCATTGTATCAAAGCAATCCCTTGGGCCAAGGATGACTGCTGTCGATAGAGACCGGAAAACTCTTGTTGCCATAGATCGGGAAAATGAGAGTGAAAATAACTAGGTGTCTTGGAACTTATAGCTCATTTGATTATGATGGAAGATCACCTCGGCATTTTGTTACATCCAAAGGATATAAAGATTTTGCTGGTCGCGTTTGATTATGCGTTTACTTGAAGTCATTCAAAAGGAACACAACCAAGTAGTTTCTTTACTTGTCAAGTCTGGAGCAATAATTGATACCATGGTGCTGGAGGGCTTCTGTGTTTTATTGTTGCAAGAAGGGGTTTGTGTTTTAGGGAGAGAACTTTGGCTAACGCCATTGCTCCAAGAAATTATGTTCAACGAACTTCACTTCAATAGCTATCTCAGAAGGTTATATCCTTTTGCAAAAGTACTTCTAATTGTAGGAGCAAGCCTTTTTTCAATTGACAGGGTTTTATTATTCTGTTTTGGTTGGTTTGGTTCGCCTCATCTTTGTCATTCTTTCAAAGGGTCGTTTCTTCTAGGTTGGAGGGTTTGCTGATACTATGTTGCCTTCTTAGTATGATGATGTGATCATTTCCGTCAACAACATTACTGATATTTTTCCAACATTGAAGAGAGTGGTGTAGTTTGTTTAATTCTCAAGAGCTTTATTCTTACTGTCTTATTCTCTTATAATATTTGGAGTTTTGTTCTTTATTTGGCTTTTCTAGTCTTTTTTTGCTCCCTTTAGGAATTGGTATCCTTGAACATTTTCTCCTTTTCATATATTAATGAAAAGTTTGTTCGTGTTAAAAAAAATGTTCTTTTTTATTCAATCCGATTGTATTGCTCATCGTTGAGCTTGTCATTTTCTTGCTTTGATTTTTCTTTTTCTAAAGCTCCTCTAAAGGCGTGTATCTTGAGCAATTTTCCTTTTTATTTATCAATGGAAATGATTTCTTGTTAAAAAAATGTTGGAGCCATAAAAAAAATCTGCATTTTCTGATAGTTCTTCTCTTTGGCAGGAGAATGACCGGTAACCTGTATATAATGCTTCATGTAGATGAAAAGCATGGAATTTGGAGAGACGGTATTCATCTATACTCAAAAATTAGCATCGACTATACAGACGCAATATTGGGGAGTATTGTGAAGGTAAGTTATTGGCTTATTGCTGGTTGGAAAGTGCTATAAACCTAGTATATATATTTTTCCACTTGAAAGTACGATCCAAGAGTACTAGAAGAATTTTCACTAGCATTATTGTTTCTCAAAGTTTTAAGATAAACATTGAACTGAAAAGGTTGTTTTCATATTATCAATGAAAAGTTTGTTTCTTGTTAGAAAAAAACAAGAAGAAGATAAACATTGAACCGAGTTCGAATTTTAGCACAAAAATTACAAGTGAGAAAGTAACTCAATAATTTTTCTTGAAATATAATCAAGTTGTATGAGAATAAATATTAAAAAAAAAATAGACAAAGTATCTTAAATTTTATTTTGGACACAATTAAACAAGGAACTAAATCATTTGTTTATTCTCTATGACTCAAATTAAGACCTTAGAGTTTGGAAAACTAACGTGAGTTATTTAAGCCCACTATCATTGGGGTCTTCCATCTCTTTCTGCATGGAGAAAACTTTGTCCTTTAGATTCATAATTTGGACAAATCGGACAAGGGCCGTAAATATTAGATGAACTAATTAAAAAGGATCTAAGACAGTGGAATTTGGAAAATTTGACATGAGTCGATGGAGACAAATTATGAATCTAAGTAGTAACAAATTACTCAAATGATATCAATGGACTTGGGATACAACCCCGAACATGATGCTATATGTTGTGGGCATGCTTGTCCAGGGTGTGTTACCTATGGCCGCATGTCCAAACCATCCTTACCACTCGCTTTACTTTCATGTCTTTAAAGCTTTCTAGTGTAGTTTGTTTGTATCAGATTTTGGGGTTGTAGGTGGAATTTGGCCGAGCGACTTTGGAACTAGGTGTGTATTAATAAGATATGTAAGCACGCCAAATTTCAAGCCAATCGGAGTTCACACGGGGCCTCTAGGCCAYCGAGTGACTCCTCGCCACTTTGCATGTCTACACCTGCCACACCAAAAATGTCTTATAATGTACCTTGGGGGGACCAAGTAGTCATCAAACCTCCCCCCGACCAAGTGTTGTATACTTTCTTGCAATCAAAGCTTTCTTGCATCCAATGTTTACAATGCTTATTTTAAAGATGTTTTCAACTGTTTTTCTCTCTCACGTTTTCCAAAACCAATTTTCTCGTAAAACGTGAGTGGAGGCTAGACCCACGATCGAGATTGCCCACAAATTACAATTTTTCTCGACTAACTTGCTCGTTTGAGCTAGAGCAAGTACCGCACAATCGCTTGAGCTGTGCTAAAAAGGTGCGATTGTGACACTATACCACCTTTGGTACTTGATGATCGAATTATAAAGCCCTCCACTTTGTATCTGATGTATCTAAACTACTTTAAGTTCATAAAGTAGTTACTTTAATCTAAGTTGTTGAGGGGTAGGTGATGTTTTTAGTAGTTTGTTTGACAACATTCATCTAAACAGTTTCTTTGAAGGTTTCTTGGTGGGTAATAGGTCTTTCCATGTTTCTCATCTTCAATTTGCTGACGACACTTTGATCTTTTGTAAGAACGATGTGTCTGTGTTATCAAATTTGATTAGATCTATCAAGGCTTTCGAATGGCTCTTGGTTTTAGATGTTAATTGGAATAAATCAGCTTTGTGCGGCTTAAATATTCTCCCTCAAAAACTTCAGCAAGTGGCCTCTACTCTAAAGTGCAAGGTTGAATAATTTCCAATGATGTATTTGGGTCTACCCTTGGGTGGTAATCCTAAAAGCGTAGATTTTTGGCAACCAGTACTTGAGAAAATTTCTAAAAAGTTGGATAGGTGGAAGGGCTTCCATTTATCCAGAGGCGGTCGTTTAACTCTGTACTTTGGTGTTATCCAACATTCCATCTTATTATATCTCTTTGTTTCCAATACCCTATGGTATTTGCAGACAGATTGAGAAAGCTATGCGGGACATTTTGTGGAAAGGTAACTCTTCTGGTAAGTTGAAGCATTTGGTTAATTGGAAGATCACTTCCATGCCTCTGGAGGTCGGTGGTTTAGGCGATGGAGGTCTTTTAAAACGTAATGAAGCTTTACTAGCAAAATGGGGTTGGCGTTATGGAAATGAATCCTCCTCTTTGTGGAGACAGGTGATAGATAGTCTATATGGATCAGATTCTCTTAAGGTATGCAATCGCTGTCCATGGAGTAGTATTTCCAAGCATTGGAAGTCTGTAGCATCCTTGGTTCATTTCAAGGCTGGAAATGGCCCTAGAATTTCATTTTGGCATTCTACCTGGGTCGGCAGTAGACCTCTAAAGGATGTTTTCCCCAGAATTTTCAAGCTGTTCCTTCTCCCTAATGGAGTTGTGTCAAGCTTTTGGGATTCTACTACTAACTCATGGAATGTGGTGGTAAGAAGGGCCTCTAAAGATGAGGAAATGGACCAATTAAGTGGCGCCCAACTCTTTCCAATACCACTTCCCTATTCCACGACTTTCTGACCTTTTAGACCAATTAAGTGGCGCCCGACTCTTTTCCAAAATCAGACCTTAAAAGTGGCTACCACCAAATTAGAATACAACTCGTAGATGAATGGAAAACAACATTCAAAACTAAGGAGGGACTCCTTGAATGGTTGGTTATGCCATTCGGTCTTTCTAATGGCCCAAGCACCTTCATGCGAGTGATGAACCAGGTTCTTCTCCCCTTAATCATTTTGTAGTAGTTTATTTTAATGATATATTAGTTTACAGTAAATCCCCGGCAGAACACCTCTCACACTTACGCATGATATTTCAAACCTTAGAACAAAACCAACTTCATATTAATCTTAAGAAATGTTGTTTTTTAACGACCCAAATTTCTTTCTTAGGATTCCTTATTTCTAAATTTGGTATTGTTGTTAATCCATCCAAAATTTCAGCTATTAAACAATGGCCTACACCTACTAGTGTTAGGGATGTTCAATGTTTTTTAGGGCTAGCATCTTTTTATAGGAAGTTCATCCGCAATTTCAGCACACTAGCCGCACCTCTCACTGGATGCTTAAAGAAAGGCCAATTTAAATGGGATACCGACAAGATTAGGAGTTTTAATACCCTTAAGAACAAACTAAGCACCACCCCAGCTCTTGGTCTTTGAGACTTTACCCAACCTTTTGAAGTTGCTGTAGACGCTTCAGGAATAGGTATGGGGGCTGTTTAAGAACTTCAGACCGAGGAAAAAAGATGATTCTCTCCATTCTCTCTCCTCTCCCCCCACCCCCCTTGAGACATGATCACCCTTTCCTCTAGTTGTCTCCGGTACTGCAAAAGCCATGGCATCACAGCGGCTGACCGCCAAGATCGAAAACAAGTCCTTCAAAGTTTCTATTGATTCAAGATATAAAGGAAGAGTGATCTTAGTAGAAGAATTTCATTTGCGACGAAAGTTCTCGGTGTCCTTCGAAGAAGTAGTGGCGGTATGACTTGTTGACTCCATAAGGGATCTGCTTCTTTCCCCACAGGCCCAGAAGTTTTTCAGGAAGACACCATGTGAGAGTGGTTTCTTTTGGATTCTTAAGACGACAAATAAACGGGGAAGTTTTATAGAGATCACAAAGGTTCAGGACACGGGGAGGAAAACCAACATAGTAGTCCCAGCTGGGGAGGGCTTCGAAGGATGGAACGTGTTCAAACAACTTCTCATCGATTTTTTGAACGGTTACGAAACAAAAGGAAAGGAGAAGATAGTGGGCCCTAAAACACAAACATTACCAACAAGACAGTTGGACAAAAGATCAACAACAAGACAAACAAACTCCTATGTAGAAGTAGTGAGTAGCTTTGTCGTCAAGAAAGACGAGGCTCAAGCTCAACCTCAGCCCCACCAGAAAGAGGAAGTGAGAAGCATTAACTGGAATGAGGTGTTGATCCTAACGAGACGCGATTTTCATGATGACTGGGGGAAGATAGTGTCAACATTAGAAAATCAACTAAAAGAAAGCCTTATCCTCAATTCTTTCCACCCAGATAAGGCTATCCTGAAATGCCCTTCAGAAGAGTTGGCTCGTATTCTAAGTTTGAACAAAGGCTGGGTTACGTTTGGAGCCTTCACTCTTTGTGTTGAGAAATGGAACAAGGATAGACATAGTTACAGCATTGTGGTTCCTTTTTATGGAGGATGGCTGAAATTCAGAAATATTCCTCAACATTTATGGAGTGCTGATCTTTTCAAAAAGATAGGCGATAGCTTCGGCGGGTTCATTGAATATGCGGATGAAAATGCAGCAAGACTTGAATGTATGGACGTAGCGATTAAGGTTAAAGGAAACTATTGCGGTTTTATTCAAGCCGGTCTTATTATCAAAGACAAGGAAGATTCTTTCTTTGTTCAAACGGTGACTTACGAAGATACCAAGTTTTTGATCGGAAAAGAAGCCTTTGTTCACAGAGGTTTTTCGCCGGAAGTAGTAGAAAATTTTCATAAGGGTCTGAMAAGCAAACCAGGCCCAAGTCCGTGGACATTTGGAGAGTAGAAGATGGTTTCTTTTAACCAGAGGTTAGTACTGTAACAATCGAAAAAAAAAATATAAATATATATATATTTAAATTATTATTTTTTAGTTGTTTTCTTTTATTTTCTCAAAGATAAACCTTTTTGTTTTAGAAATTACTTTTAAAAGATAATTTGTTCTTAGAATTTAAAAAATAAAAAGAAAGAGTTTTATTAAATCTTTATCTTTTTATTATCCTTTTTAGATAAGGATTCGTTAGGGTTTGTTATAAAAGCCCTTAAACCCTAGGTTTTATTTTCTTAAACTGTTAGACCTAGTTTTCTCTCAAAGAAAAGAAAGGAAGAAGAGTTTGGTATTTTCTCTCAAAGATCCGTAAGATTTTCTTCTCATTGTTTTAGTTTATTTTTTTCTTGATTTGTAGTTCTTTAATTCAGTTTATTGGAAAAAGTTTTGAGGTCTTTGTTTTTTAGAATAAAAGATTTTAAGGACTTTTACCCTAAAAATTTTCCAGAATTTTTGGTTTGAATTTTTTGTTTATAAGACTGTTTTTGGGCTATT